ATATTAAGAATTTTTTTTTATGATTTTGCAAACAAAGCAGCAAGTATTTTTTTTATAATTTCCCTATTTATTATAATAATCCTTTAGTTGATAAGAAAGAAGCGGTATGTCAAAGCTCGTAATAATTAAATAGAATTAGAAAAACCTTTTTTAAAATAACCCATAAATAAATTAATAAAAGAAATATCAATAAGTGTGTTGCTGCAATTCATCTAAGGCAGAGGTACAGGTATTATAATAGAAAATATAGAAGATGTTAAATCTTCTAAGTATACAACGTATCTATATGTAATACACTATTACAAGAAGCTGGTGCTGCCTGCCGAGCAGGCGAAAGTTGTCCCTGCTGCTTGCTACCCAACGCCGATACCAAAGGCTCAACACTTTAAGTTCCAAGAGTCATTCTTCGGACCGAGTAGGTAGTGCAACGTCGAAAAGACCATCGCTTAAGTTGTTTCCAACACGAACGGTGGTCCATCAGAAGACGCGTCGCGACGTAGTGCGCCGTGACCTAAATATACCGCTGTAAAGAGTGCCGTTAGCGCGTTCAATCGCCGCGTGCCCTTTTACTATTGCCCTGGACAACCTCCTCGAAGAATAAATATAAACATGGCCGTCATTATCAAGAACGTATCGCTGTTATTCACGTAAGTTTTATGAAAGGGTTGTATGTTGTTATATTTTAAAACACGCGCGCTTGTGTGACGTAATAATTCGATGGCGCCAAGGGAATATGACGTGTAATCCGATCTGTATGGGGGATATGCTGATATGCTTTGACGCACATATGTTAGATGTTTCGAAACCTAAAAAGCTCATACGAAAGTCGGTGAATGGGTGAATGTAATATGCCAAGATTAGTCTCCACGAACATTTCTATTAATTTAGTATACCAATAAAGAATTTTCAAGCCATCTGATCAATTATTGTCTTTAAAGAAAGTCGAAAGTTACTAGTAATTGACACAAACTTTATAATTAAACTAACAATAAACATATTAAGCAAAAACTGTTCTACGAACTAATTAGATGTTTATGGGATATTTTGTTAAACAACGAAAATTAACAATTTAACTTCATAAACCAATTGTTTATGTATTTTATTTAATGCTATTACTTATTGTTTTTTAATATTTCGGTAAATACTTTTTATTACTAATTTTGCTTGGTAAATGCCCACATATACAACTAAAATTAAATTCAGCAAATTAAATATCTATTATTTTAGAATTATTCTTTTCACTATAATTTTAATAACACTAAATACATAATGGAATACCAATTTTAAAGTATTTAAAACTTCATTATAAATAACAGTTTTGTAATAATTACACAAAAATTTTGCCTTCCATTAAATTATTTATACTAAGACAAACCATAAATTCTAATCCTATCGCAGTCACCTGTAAAAATGGTAATCTATAAAGATGCATATGGCGCCGAGATATTGAATAATTATGTTATTTATCTATTTCATGCTTTCGTCATTGGTCTATTCCTGTTGCTTTTGGTAGGTTTGCCTCTATTTAATATTCGATTAAGAAAAAGAAAGTGATGCTAATGAAATTTTTCTTAAAAATTCAGGTAAATTAAATTTTATAACCTATTGCGTATACATCGCGTTAATATTTTATTATTAAGAAGTTACGAGCTTAATTAATTCTTTAATTTCAATATATAGTATTTAATTAAACACATTACTGTACACAACTGTAATTGTGCACCTATTTTAAAGGTTTAGAAAATTACAATAAATTGCTATTGCTATTAATTAATACTTTCATTAATTTAAATATTCACGTTCCTACCCAAAACCAAATAAGTACAAATTCCTCAAAACAAAGTTAATTTTGCAGGCCATTTATTTAATTGCCAAATATTACAAGAAGAATAAATTACAGGTCTAATAAAAGATTGTCAAACTGCTTATGTGTGATTTAAAATAAATTAACGACAAGTGATTAAACTGTTATTATTATATTAGGTAATGCTTTGCTCGATGACTAATTAAATTAACCAAGCACTGATAATTCGTGTTGGACTTAATCTACTGCAAAAACTTAAACTTAAAATTTTGATGTAAAAACTTCGACACCTAACGATTAAATTGGCTTTAAAAAGTGGTTTTGATAAAATTATAATAATGAATTGTACGCTATAAATTATTAATTGTAAGATATTTTTACAATCTATATTTTGCTAGTCGAAATGGAAATAACATCTGACTATCACTAAAAATAATTCTTATTATCTAATAAATCTTCTGTAACTCGAACTTTTACAACTCGAAATCTTTTTTAAGTTGAATGTTTCTTTGGTTCCTTGACATATATATTCTTTTATATTTATTGCAAATCCTTTAATTTGATCCTTTCATTTATTTAATTCGTATTTTTTTCTAACACGAGATTCGAGTGTAGCACTCAGTATTACATTAAGGAAAACAGTTAAAAACGGATAGGCTAGAATTATGAGGTTACGGTAAGCAAAGACAACACGAACGAAGTACTGACATCGTCATATGAGATTCTAAGGATTATTATCGCTGGACATAACAATAGTCATACAGTGCCTTCTCCGAAACAAAAACTATAGTGTAACGTGACAGCAGAACTTTTTAATTAATTAAATTAATTAAAATTTTCTCTAACTCGAACATAATTGGCTGCATTTAGGAGGTTCTAGTTAGAAAATTTTGATTGCATCTATTAATTAAAATAAGAATCATTTAATGTAATTG